AAGACAAAGTATATAAATTGAAGAAAGCAGTTTATGGTCTAAAGCAGTCATCCAGAGCTTGGAATGCCAGAGTGAATGAAGTTTTATCGGAATTGGGTTACATTAAGTCACAACATGAATCATGTTTATTTATAAAAAGGGATAAAAATTCATTTACTCTGATAGCACTTTATGTGGATGATTTTTTTGTTTTCTCAAACAATTGTGATGAGGTAAAAAGTCTGAAAACAAAATTAAGCTCAGTTTTTGACATTAAAGATTTGGGGGAAGCCAGTCAATGTCTGGGAGTTAAAATCACTAGGGATTACAAAGATAATACTATATTCTTGGATCAGGAAAAGTATATAGATGAAGTTTTGGTAAATTTTGGTATGGAACATTGTAAACCAGTAAATACTCCTTTAGACAGCAAGATTGACACACTAAATATTAAAGATTCAGAAAATAATTTACGGGGTGATTTAAGTGATTTAGCATATCAGAAGCTTATAGGAAGCCTAATGTATTTATCAGTGTTGACTAGGCCAGATATAACATTTGCAGTAAATCACTTGAGTCAGTTCAACAATAATTATTCGGAATCCCTAATAACACAGTAACATCGCAGAAACATTCCAGAAACATCCATCAGGGATAATGAAGACGTCCCTGGGAGGTCCCTATTTTCCTGGGGACATCCCTGGGATGTTGCAGGCAACAGCCGTGTCATCATTTGCGATGTCCTATAAACATCTCTCAGGGATGTTTCTAAGATGACGCGGGATGTACCTAATACATCCGGGGCAGGTGTAAGAAACATCCTCTATATGTTTCTAGTATGACTTTAATAGGTGAATGAATTTTAGGATTATGGATTAAAAATTACCTAATTCAATAATTTTCAATTTTCGTTCTATTTTCTGGAAGTCAGATAGAACTTTTTCCAAAAAAAAAACAAAAATTGAAAATTATAAAATTAAGTAGGCACATCAGTTTCCAATAACATTTTTTATTGAAAAAATAAGGTACATGCATACTTATATTGATTATCTATCAACTAATAATAACCGACGGACAATTTTGCCTAAATAATGTAGTATTTATGCCCCGTCATGTCATCGAAAACCATAGTTTGGCAGTGGCAGCATGTTGTAGTGGGGGAGTTCGGCGTTTTCTTTTTTTTTTGGTGCTCCAATTTCATAAAGGTACCATTAACTAACCAAAACAACCACAGAACCAAAATCCAAAGTTCTTGAAGTACAATTCAACTTGCACACCTAGAATGTAATCAACTATGAAAACAAAAAATAATTATTGGTTATTTTCTCTTACCTAATGAAGAATGAAGTTCGGGTTTTTAGGGGCTATTTATTAGAAAAGTTAGAAATTTCCTAACCGACGCCATATTGAAATTAAATAAACTAAACAATTGATAGTTATGCGACGTTATCTTTCAACAAATAATCTTTCTCACCAACTAATAAGCACTGGTAGGTCGCAGAGATCCTTTCGAACACAAAATGGCACAACTAGGTGTAGCGAAAAACCACAAATTGACAAATCCTCCACACAGCACGACGCCATTACGAAATAAAATTCCGCCCAACAACACAAGCGAAGCGCACAGGACGACCCGTTCGACTGATTCTGCCCGTCTGCGCTGGCTGCGGCGCCGACCCGCCCGACCCTACGTGGTGGCGTGCCCTCCTGTCCTGACCGGTACAAGTACAAATGCCTGAGCACGCGCCTGCGCCATACACTTCGGCTTCACGAATATTCACGATGTTTGAAAGTTGAAAAGAGAGAAGACTTTTATCAATACATATTTTATTTTATTCCAAGTTGTAAGTCGAATGAAAAATTAAATTTTGCTGTTGTTACAATACAAAATTAATATTAAGTACCTTATCTATATACATTACAGGTATATTATGGAATTTGAAATTAGTTTGTGTGTGTGATAGAGACATTTTCAGAAATCACACAAAATTGGCAAATTTAATACTGGGTCCTGCCGGTCTGAGGTCCTACCTAGTTTTGTAAAATAATGTTAGCCATTTTTCAGCTGTAATAAGTATCTAATTTTGAGAACGAAAAATCTTTTTGTCGATAGATATTTTCGAAAGGATGTTTCTAAAACATTTCAGGACAATCATCCTAGAGATGTTACATTACAAACATCGCAGCGATGTACCATTTATGTCGGAAACATAAGGACCTTAATGGTACATAAATAGGATGTTTCTGGGAGATCGGTGTTATTAGGGATACCACTGGCAGTGTGCCAAAAGAATACTTAGGTATCTGAAAGGCACAAAGCATTTCAAATTAACATTTATGAAGGGAGGGAATTCTGATATTGTTGATTCTGATTTGGAGGGTTTTGTGGATGCTGATTGGGGGTCTGATAAGATGGATAGGAAGTCCTATACAGGCTATTTATTTAAACTATCTGGTGGTGCAATTTCCTGGAAAAGTAGCAAACAGAGAACAGTTGCACTGTCAAGTACAGAAGCCGAGTACATGGCCATCAGTGATGCTTCAAAAGAGGCCATTTACTTGCGCAACCTCATAAATGAAATTTGTGGCAAATTGGATTGTGTGACAATCTTGAATGATAATCAAGGTGCTCTGAAGTTATGCAATAATCCGGTTTTCCATGAACGTTCAAAGCACATTGATATCAGACATCATTTCATTCGAGAAGCTATACAAAATGGAATTATAAATGTTAACTATTTAAGCACGAATGAGATGATAGCTGACATTTTTACAAAGTGTTTGGGGAGAACTAAACATGTTTATTTTTTGACAGGTTTAGGTTTAAAAAGTTTTTGATAAGTGGGGGTGTTGGAATTATGTATTTGGGTATATCAAAATGTTTTTAAATCGTACCTACCAACGCTATCTATGTTCATAATAAGTATTTGTTTATTTGTAGAATTTGTACCATTTATTTTGTCATATGTCTTCTGTAAAATGTCAATTGTGTCTAAAAATAAAAAGTCAGTCGAGTAGCTGAAGCTCATAAAAAGGCGTCGTTGTGTTTTATTTTTCCCGTTAAAACCACAGTTTTCAACAATTTTCAAAGTTCTTATAGTAATTTTTACAGTATTCTTATGGTGAATTGAGGAAGTTGAGCTGATAGAATCAAATCCGCATTATTCATTTGTCAGACTGAAAAATGGGAAAACTCAATGACCTAAACCCTTAAGTATATTAGATTATCCTAAGTAGTAGTAAACTTCAATATAAAGATACGTGATGAGAAAATCGAATGAGTGAATGAGTTCAAATACTTAGGATGTATAATAGATGAATATTCAACATTTTCCAGTCATTGACTGGATATGTCATATTCTGAGAAGATTCGGAGATATAATCCCATGGGGTCCAATGCATAGAAGTCCAATGTCTAAACGAGGTATCGGCGCAAGTTTTTAGGTGATTGGCGCTACGCGAAAAACTATAAATATAATGTTCCCAGTGACTCCATCTTTTCGCATATATGCCAACCAAAACAAGTAACTGATGGTACTATCTGGCTCATTTGCTATGGCTATGAAATTTGATAACTTGTAATAGGAATTTTATATTTTTCTAGAGTTGCTAAGGAGCTATATTTATATCACTTATGAAATGGCAAAAAAAATTAAAGAAATTCATGAGTACAATACTAGATCAAGAGACAACTTTTACTTAAGGAAAGTCAATACGAACTTTAATCAAAACAACTTATTGTTTAGGTGCCTGAAATTATACAATGAACTGCCAAATGAAGTTAAGTGTTGTAATACCCTAATAAAATTTTAAAAACTATGGAGGAGAGAATAAATTAAGCAAAAAATTGTAATTTAATATTTGTTAAGTGATAATGATGTTATTTGATATTATGTATCTTACCTAGAGACATGAAATATTTGTATGTTTGCTAGCCGAGTGCTAAATAATTAAGACTATTATTATTGTTATTATTATTAATTTACCCCAGATTGCTCAATGCGAATTTCATTTCTGAAACTATAAGTCCAAAATGAGCTGAAAATTTCAGTTTTCTATCTATAATAGAAAAAAAGTTATGGGACTTCAGAGTTTCCAAAATCCAACTCATAAAGTAGCTACATTAGTAGGTACCTACTAAAATGAAATTTCAATTTTTCTTATGTTGAGATTTTATGTCTAAATGATCATTTGGGAACCCCACATTCTATGCACTCAATTATCCTGATATTTGAAACCCAAATCTATGAAAAAAGGACGTCAGAGAATTGAAAAATTGATAAATTTACCCCAAATTGCATAACGCAATCTTATTTCTGGAACTATAGTGTACAGATTTAAATGAGCTGAAATTTTCAGGAATTGTAGTCATTCACTAGGATAAGAATCGCTAAAAATTTCAGCTTTCTATCGATAATAGAAAAAAAGTTATGGGTCTTATAAGTTTTTGAAAATCCAATTCATAAAAGTAGGAAATTATATTATCTTGACAACAAAGCGAAAGCGTTTTGCTATAATACAAATCTATCAGCGTGGCGAAGGCATCATATTCTTGACATTTAGACGAAGGTATTTCACTATACTTTTTTTTTTTTTTTTTCATTTGTTATAAATTGCATGTATTTATTTAGGGAATTTTTAATACCTATTTGGAAGTACTAGTCGTTCTAAGTGACTTAACGTATGTCGCTTCTTGAACACACAAATGAAATTAGGTTAGGAATTTCCTATTTTTACATGAAATTGACGTATTAACAATCGACGTTCGTTTTTGTTGGTAATTTTTTGTTTCATCTGATTCGTGATTGATGAATAAGGATGAGGTTATTCTAAATGGGTATTATAGCTACCTTTTTTCCTAAAACGATGAAATTTAATTTTTTTTTTTGTTGAGATTTTGTCTCCTAATGGTCATTTAGAATCCCCCAAACTTCATACACTAACTAATTTATTCTCAGATTTGAAGCCGAAATCTATGAAAAAAGGCACTCAGAAAAATTGAAAAATTGATAAATCATTCCAAATTGCTCAACACGATTTTATCTCAGGAATTATAAATGCAAATGAGCTGAAATTTTCAGGGATTGTAGTCCTCTACTAAGATGAGAATCGCTGAAAATTTTAGCTTTTGATTATAATAGAAAAAAAGTTATGACCTTTCGAAATTTCCCAAAATCTAAATCATATTAAAAATACCATAATTATTACAAATATACAAATTGCTTTATTATTTCATTTAAATCAAAAAACCAATCCAAAATAATCAACAAACTACACAATTCCGAAACTGTAAATTAATTATCCAAGTCCTCCTCCGGCCAAAGAAGACAAAACCGCCGTAGGAATTTGCTGTGGGACTTGGCCAAACTGCACAACAGCCCTGTAACCGTTTTCGTCAGCTGCGTAAGTCACTTTGTAAGTGTTCCGATCATTTGCCTGTCCTGGGTACTCATAAAAACCACTCACAGCTAAAACCTTCGAATCTCCTACAGTTTTAAATTCCGCAACTTCGTTTCTAGATATTCCAGTATCGATATAATAACTAAAAAAATAATTATTAATACCTACATATTAAATTTACTATTATAATAATAACTTACTTGAAATTGTAGCCGTTTTCATCTTGTTCGCTTGTATATTTCACCAGTTTGTCATCGTTTTGAGGTCTACAGAAGCACTTGTAGGTACCAACTAGTACTACCAAAAGCACCACCAGGTGCGATTTGAAGAAGTGCATTTTTGCAATTGATCAAAAAGTAAAATAACTTCTTGTTAAGGTCAGCAACAATCTTTCAATAATTTTGTTTATTGTGTGGATAGAATGCTAATGTTGATGTAAAAAATTATTCAGAAATAATGAGTTTATAATTATTTATCTTGATTATTAGGTAGGTACCTGTGTACTTAAGTAATGGTATAAAATTATCTGTCTATTCTCTAAAGGTACCTATTGGGGAGAGAATTAGGAAGGGAATAAAAAAATCTCTATAAGACTTATTTTCATTTCAGGATTCTATTAGTTCTCTATCTTCATTTAATTCTGGAATATTGAACAAAAATCAAAATTATTTGCATCATAATACAATATAGGAAGTCGTTCCTGATAAATTTTCTCTATTTATCTATCGCAAATCTATATCTCTGACCTTTTTCTCTTTATTGTCATTGCAACAGTCAGCCAAAATTACCCATCAAAATGTACTATGTATGTCTTTCTTATTGCCAAACAACGTATTATATAATATTCCTCCATTGTAACGTGATATATTACCAAAAAAAATACAAAAGAAATGACAATAATAATTGATTTCGTCTATCTGAATACATGATTAAGAGATTACATTAGGTATGTGTTTTTGCCCAATTGCGAAAGTCTTATGGTGATCAATTTTAGTTCTACGATATAAATCCACGCAACAATTAATTTGACTGGGTTTACCCCATAAATGAATCTTTTTTCCTTCTATTTTTGTACAAATCAAACATCAAGGTTGCAATTTCATAGCATCACTTTTTGTTCCGAGTATGTATCTATTGTGCAATGTATAATTTTTGGAATTTTAATTGAGATTTCATTAAAAGGTCTCGATGACTATTTTTCATGAGTAAAGAGAATTCATCAATGAAGAAATTATAAAGGTTGTAGATTTAATTACTAAATCCCTTGCAGTAGTGGTTAATTTTAAACACATATTTTATTTTAGAAAATTACATGACTTAAATGAGTAATTGCCAATTACTATTATTTTCGAGTTAACGGTTTTGCAATGTATGAAATTGGATAATTTTATTATTGCCTTATCCCACTAACATTTACTTAAAAACTAAATCTTCAGTGACGGATTTCTAGGGTTTAACTGGTTATACATTGTGAATCATCATTTATCGAAGAGATGGCACCAATCGATTAACAAATTATTGTCTTGTCAATTAGCGTTCAATTATTTTAGATATTTTGCAATTATTGATTAATTATTAGGAAACAAGGTGTTTAAAAGTGACATAATAGAGAATCCGGATCTGCATTAACAGGTAGATACCAATTTCTCACAGGTAGAAGGGCAAGGACGATTTGTTTGTAATAAATGTGAACTTAAAGGATAATCATCTGTATTTGGTGTTTGATTAGCTTTTACTAATTAATTTTTGATTGATTTATATGTGGGAGAATCTTTGCTAGAATGAAATTGTTGTTATCAAAATACCTACCTATAGTCTATCTAATTCATCTAAAGTGGATGTCTAGGTCTAGATGTCAAAGTTGCCAGAAGAAAAACAAATGAAGTACTTCTGAGCAGAGCTGTCAATATCTAAAGTAAATATTACTTGAAATTCTACTTCAAGTACATATAAGTAGGTACCTACTTTAAATATTTTACTTGAATTACGTTTTTTGTTACGTGCTTGTACTTGTATTTCCAATATCTATTCTAAAATAATTGCATTTTCACTTCTTTAGGTATATCAAGTATTTTGCTCTGGATTTTGCTTGAAGTATTTTGAGTACCTATACTTATAATAAATAAGTTTCTTGAGTTCACAGACCTTTATTTATAGAGAATTTAATGCTCTTTCCAATGGTATAAAATTTATTCCAATTTGCTCAAAATTTAACAAAGATATGGGCAATTACTCATGACCATGTCAAGATTTCCGGAACCAAAAATAAGATTTCCTTTTTATTTTTGTTTTTGCTTAAAATGGCCATTTGAAAATGATGTCAGGGTTGTTTTTCACTAATTTTGATACACTCTATGGATTGGTAAAGTCAAAACTGAAAAATAAAAAAATCGACCTTTTCATAAGGGTACCCCCTTTGACTTCTGATTTCAAAATATTCAAACCTCAATTGCTCGGTAACCGTTGAACAAATTGCATTGAAATTTCCAGAATTCATAGCTCTTGATGAGCTTTAAAAACTCTGTAATTTACAATATTCCTAGATTTATAGTTTTTGAATAAATTGAGTTTAAATTTTTTTGCAAAATTTGGACTAAAAATCAACTTTGAGGCTCAATTACTCAAAAACTATTCGAGTCATTAAACTCAATTTTGCACGGATTTATAGAGAATTTAATGCTATTTCCAATGATATATGATTTATTGCAATTTGTTCAAAATTTAACAAAAATATGGGCAATTGCTCATGACCATGTCAAGATTTTGAAAATTTTCCAGAGCCAAAAATAGAATTTCCTATTGAATTTTTTTTCAGCTCTAAATGGCCATTTGGAAATCATGTGGAGATTTTTTTCCACTAATTTTGACCCGCTCTATCAATTGGTGGACTCAAAACTGAGCAAAACTGAAACATAAAAAATTCGAGTTTTTCATAAGGGTACCGTCTTTGACTTCTGATTTCAAAATACTCTAACCTCAATTGCTCGGTAACTGTTGAAAAATTGCATTGAAATTCTTAGTACTTTTAGCTCTTGATAAGCTCCAAAAACCCTTTAATTTACAATATTCCTAGATTCATAGTTTTTGAGCAAATTGAGTTTGAAGTTTTTGGCAAAATTTGGACTAAAAATCAACTTTGAGGCTCAATTACTCAAAAACTTTTTGAGCGATTGAACTCAATCTTGCACGGATTTATAAAGAATTTATTGCTTTTCCAATGATAAATTATTTATTGCAATTTGCTCAAAATTAAACAAAAATATTGGCAATTGCTCATGACCATGTCAAGATTTTGAAAATTTTCCAGACCCAAAAATTGAATTTCCTTTTGAATTTTTTTTCAGCTCTAAATGGCCATTTGTAAATCATGTCAGGATTGTTTCTCACTAATTTTGACCCGCTTTATCGATTGGTAAACTCAAAACTGAGCAAAACTGAAAAATAAAAAAATCAAGTTTTTCATAGGGTACTTTCTCTGACTTAAAAATATTCAAACCTCAATTGCTCGGTAACCATTGAGCAAATTGCATTGAAATTTTTAGCATTTATAGCTCTTGATAAGCTCTGAAAACTCTGTAATTTTCAATATTTCCAGGTTTATAGTTTTTGAGCAAATTGTGTTTGAAGTTTTTGGCAAAATTTGAACTAAAAAGGAACTTTGAAGATCAATTGCTCAAAAACTATTTGAGCAACTATACTCAATTTTGCACAGATTTATAGAGAATTTAAAGCTCTTTCCAATGGTTTATAATTTATTCCAATTGCTTGAAATTTAACAAAGATATAAACAATTGTTCATGATCATGTCAAGATTTTGAAAATTTTCCAGAGAGACATTCCGCCCAAAAAACGACGAAACTTTACATGAGGGTAAATTATAGACGAAAAACACCCAAATGAACCCAACTATCACTCATTGAAAACACTCTATCGATATATTAGACATCCTGTATATAGTTTCATATGCATTTAAGTATGTAGGTATAGGTACTTAATGAGTAGGAGTTTTTACATGTACTCATAAATTTACTTTGTCGCATTTTTGACAGTGAATGTGACATATAGGTAACTGCATTGAAAATTGAGTGGTAAAGTGTAACCTAACCTGTACTACTGTATAGCAATACATTTTCAATTTTCTTAGATTTTTTCCCTTAAGCATGAACATTATTTGCTATAGTACATACTTAATCTAGACGCACCAAATAAGTAGGTACTAAGAGTACTTATTTCAAGTTTAAGTAATTGAAATTAAGAATGATAAGTAAGTACTTCTTAAAATAATATTTTAAGTAGCTAGATACCTTCTTTGAAAACAACTTTTTACGTAGATTCAAATTTACAGTAAGTACATTTCCAAGTAGTAAATAATACTTGAAATACATTGCCAAACTTAAGTAAGTACCAGTACAAATGAGTTTTCAAAACTATATTGCTAATTTTTTTCGTGAGTACTTTTTTTATAAAAGTAGGTACTTATGCATCAAAATATACTGGATATTTTACTTTTCAAGTATATTTTATCAATAATAATACATTATCTTTAAGTATAGATAACTCTTAATTTCCAATTTTGATTATTCCCGGTTCTAGAACTTCAATCAAGAGCCGAGAATAATTTATATTTCGAAATTCACGACTAATCAGGTTAATGCAGTTTCAACTGTTGCCAATTGACACTATATTGACAGCATTAACTGCCACTTCTAGTATGGAAAAATAGACTAAAAAGACAGTTTTTAGTTATAAATTTTGAATATTTCCGGCTCTAGAACTTCAAACAAAAACCGGGAATAATTCATATTTGAAAATTCTTCACCAATCAGAATGGTGGAATTTCAATTATTGCTTTTGCCAGCTTCGGTTGACAGTAAAATGTCACATGTTGCTACTGACAGAATATGGCGCTTAATTATGCAAGTGACAGATTCTATCAATGTCAATAGAAATCCTCAAAATGGCGTCTCAATCCGTTGTTTATGAAAAGTTTCAAATTTCAATAATTAATCCCGTCTTTTGAATTTAGAACAGAAGCGATTATTGTGTAATTTTATTTTTCTATCTTTGTTGGTTCTGTTTCAATCAAAAGAGATGAATATAGTTTCTGGCATAGTCTTTTATCAAGTTGTCATTTAGGCTTGTCAATCATTCTGTTGCTTCTCGATTGTCTTATGTCAAAACTTCAATGCAAAGTCTGAGAATGACGTCTGAATGAATTTGATTCATTTGGAAATTCCAAATTTTGATTATTCCCGGCTCTTGAACTCAAATTAAGAACCGGAAATAATTGGAATTTGAAAATTCATCACCAATCAGATTGATGTAGTTGCACCTGCTATTAACAACGTTATTCAGATTGGTGC